CCCTCTCCCCAGGCCCAGGCTGGCGGCTCCCGGGAGCTTGCCCAGGACCGCAAGAAGTGGGCACCTTCCTGGGCTAGTGCAGACATAATGGACCTTGTCCACGATCTCTGCACTAGGCACAGGAAAGTGGCCGTCTAGGGCAGGAGAGCTGCCAGCCTGGCCACCCAGGACCAGGTGTGCATGAAAATCAAGGGGGTCCACTGAGACCCCCGACCCTGAGCCCTGAGCTTACAATGGCCGTACTGGGTCAGACCAAAGGTCCATCTAGCCCAGTAGCCTGTCTGCCAACAGCGGCCAACCCTAGGGACCCTGGAGGGGATGGACCGAAGACAGTGATCAAGCCATTTGTCTCGTGCCATCCCTCTCCAGCCTTCCACAAACTTTGGGCAGGGACACCACTCCTACCCTCTGGCTAATAGGACTCCATGGACCCAACCTCCATGACTTGATCTCACTTCCCTTTAAACTCTGTTCTAGTTGTAGCCTTCACAGCCTCCTGCAGCAAGGAGTTCCACAGGTTAACTATTTGCTTTGTCAAGAACAACTTTCTCTTACTAGTTTCAAGCCTGCTACCCATTCCTTTCCTTTGGTGTCCTCTAGTCCTTCTTTATGGGAACTCAGGAAGAACTTTTCTGAATGCACCCTCTCCACCCAACCCCTGCTTTTAGAGACCTCTATCCTGTCCCCCCTCCGTCTCCTCTTTTCTAAGCTGAACAGTCCCAGTCTCTGTAGCCTCTCTTCATCTGGGACCTGTTCCCAACCCCTGATCATGTTAGTTGCCCTCCCCTCTCCCAGCCTTTCTCTTCCCCTCTCCCACCTCCTTTTCCCAGTCTCCCCCAGTTTTTTTCAATAAAGACAGAGTCAATGTTGGAAGAAACGTTATCTTTATTTTGTACATCAATAAGAAGGGGGGCTAGGGAAGGGTAAGTGGAAGGAGGTGAGGGAGGAATGGGGTACGAGCCCCCGATGGGGAGGACTGGGCTGGCTCTGCGGGCTTCTGGGGGTGGAAGCTCTCCTGCAGCCCCCCAATTACTCCCTCTCCCCAGATGGCAGCCTGCGGCAAGTGCAGCCGGGCTGATGGCCGAGTGGTGTGATGTGCCCAGTGTGGGCACTCAGGGCACTCCAAGCCAGAACTTCTTTGCAAGCGGGGCACCCCTTAGAACTGTGTGTCCGGGGTGGGGGTCGGGACCCTTTAAGCGCAGCCCTCGGCTAGCCTGAGACAGTATCTCCATGCTCTAAGTCCTCCTTTTATGCCCTGCCGGCACTGCTTCCGGCCATCCTTAAGCCCTGTTCAGAGTCCACTCAATGTGGACTTGCTAGTTCGAACTAGCAAAACGCTAGTTCGAACTAGTTTTTAGTTCTAGATGCGTTAGTTCGAACTAGCTTAGTTCGAATTAACTAATTCGAACTAAGTTAGTTCGAACTAACTTTGTAGTGTAGACATACCCTTAGTTAGTTCGAATTAGCGCTGTAGTGTAGACATACCCTCTCTCTCTCAGACGAAAGGATGCCAACTACACGCCACCGTGTTTATCAGCAAGGTAGCATAGAGCAGAGAACATCAGCCATTATGTTATCAGTTGTCCCTGCTTTCTTTTCCTTGGATAACATAATCCCTTAAATTCAGAGGGTAAAAGTCAATATCTTTATTCAACCCTTTAGTTTGTAATTCAGAAGTCAGTGGTAGATGCAGCCACTGTATAAAATATCTGTTTAATCTGACATTTGACTGGAGAATATGAAATGTTTAGATTTGTAAATAAGTGATTTTGGGTCTGTTTATGGTTTGTGCATAAGAATCAAACACATTTCACGTGGAGGGGCAGATTCTTAGCAGACATAAGTTGGTGTAGTTCTGTTCAAGTCAGTGGGACTACATCAGTTTACAGGTACCTAGCCATTATATTTTTTACCAGAGATTTTTAATTTCCTCTCAGGAAAACTTTTTTTCCCATGTCATGAAAATAGGATTCCTCATCGAACTGTGATTAAAATACAGTGACATCTACATTTCAGCTCTATAAGTCTTCAGCCCCTGTGCTGTGTGTCATTATTTATCACTGCCTTGTGATTGTGCCTGTTTCTGATTTGAGAATATTAGAGCTGTGACTTGACTTGAAAATAACCAAAGCACTTCAAGTAACAAGAACAAATATAGAAATAATTTTTCATGGACACATAACTTCAGCACTTTCCACATATTAATTATGTAGATGGAGTCAATGTATCTTAAATCACTTTTCCGCTCCATCCATGGCGGGCTGATGGGAGCAAATGGTTCTGTCAGCTTCTCTTACTCCTCAGTTTCCCTTTCTCCTAAAGGGGGAGTACAGGACACCAGCCAGCACTGCCCTCAGTGATTTAGATGGGATTGGTCCTGCCTAGAGCAGGGGGCTGGACTTGATGACCTTCTGAGATCTCTTCCAGTTCTATGATTCTATGATAAGGGGATGGTTTGATGAGATAATATGATCTTGGTAACTAATTGACCATTCATTTTCAGTGGGAAATAGGTCAATGGAGGGATGATAAGAGTTTCTATAGAGAATTTCTGGGTGTCTGGCTGGTGAGTCTTGCCCACATGCTCAGGGTTTAGCTGATCGCCATACTTGGGGTCGGGAAGGAATTTTCCTCCAGGGTAGCTTGGCAGAGGCCCTGGAGGTTTTTCACTTTCCTCTGTAGCATGGGGTACAGATCACAGCTGGAGGATTCTCTGCATCTTGGGGCCTTCAAAGTATTTGAAGGCTTCAATATCGGAGATATAGGTGAGAGGATTATTCTAAGAGAGGTGGGTGAGATTCTGTGGCCTGCACTGTGCAGGGGGTCAGACTAGATGATCATAATGGTCCCTTCTGACCTTAAAGTCTATGAGTCTATGAGCATACTAACTCAAACACCAGATCGACCTCTGGAGTGAATGACCTTCCATGTAGTGTAGATGTGCTCTCAAAATCCTGCCCCCAGTACACTGCTATTTTTAGCTTCATAGCCCGTGCTGAGGTCAGTTGACTCAGGATCTGAGGCTCACTGCAGTGGGAGGTTTGTTTTTTGTTTTGGGAGGGTTTGTAGGGGGGAGGTTGGCAGTGTAGATTTAGCTTATATACAAACCCATGCAATGTTACAGACTCCATGGAAACTGACTTTCCATACTGTCCAAATCTGTGAGGGTATGTCTACACTAACCCCCTAGTTCAAACTAGGGAGGCTAATGTAGGCATTCAAAGTTGCAAATCAAGCCTGGGATTTAAATATCCTGGGCTTTATTTGCATGTTCCCGTCTGGTCACCATTTTTGAAATTTACTAGTCTGGACTAACTGCCCACGTCTACACGCGGCAGAGACCCAGTAGTTCAAATTAAAGCCCTAGTTCGAACTACCTGTTATTCCTCTGGATGGGAAGATGCAAATCAAGCATGGGGTATTTAAATCCCGGGCTTGATTTGCAACTTCAGATTCCTACATTATCCTCCCTAGTTCGAACTAGGGGGCTAGTGTAGACATACCCTATGTGAAGTGGGAAATGCATATTCCTTTGCCATTTAAATTTTACTAAAGAAAATCATTATAATACAGAAAGTGAAAAAAACCACTTAAATATATATTTGTGAAGCACATGACTAGTCCTGTTGAAGTCAATGGGGATACACTCATGCTTAAAGTTAAATATACGCTAGCTGTTTTCCTAGATTGTGGCCATAATTCCCAATCCAGAAAAGGGTTTGTGCCAACGGTCCCTCATGGCTGTATCAGACCATAGGCAACAAACAATAAATCTCCTTTTTAGCACAGTGTCTCAAGCATTAACTGTTTGTAATGGTCCAAATATCAGGTAAATTAAAGGCCTTATTTTGGGGTTCAGGAATTAAAACAAGAGCTAAGTTAAATTTGGACAGTCCAGAACAGTGTTTCTTGAACTTTTTAAGACTGAGGAACACTAACCAATTTTTTTTTTTTTTGTATGGAGAACATCAAGGATTTTTTGTTGTTGTTGATGATAAAAAACAAAAAAAGCCCCCAGGAAAAAGTTGTTGAGCAACAACGACAAAAAAGAGATGCTTGTCCCTTTAAGAGAGCCATTCTGAATTCTGTTCTCTCTGTGGCACACCTCCAACTGCCTCGCAGCACACTGGTATGCTGTGGAACACACTTTAAAAAACGCTGGTCTAAAAGGTCATTTTTGAGAAATCTCCTGTCTTTGCATGCAGGTGGAGCTGCACTGCAGGTACAAACAGTGGGTGTGCTTGTGTAGGCACATTGTTGACATTTTCACAACTGCGTCATTGATCAGAGCTTAAACTGGTAAGTGTAAAATATGACAAGGTATCCTGAGGATTCATGCAAGGCTCTTCTACACTAGGAAATGTTGTCTATACTAGGGCATGTCTACACTAGGAAATTATGTCAAAATAACTTATTTCAAGATAACAACTCCTAAAATAACTGTTTGAAATAGCATGTCCACTCTACAGGGAAGCCTCGAAATTAGTTCAAGGCAGGCTTACTTAATGTGGACGAGCTACCTCACCTTAGGGCCCCAGGAAGCATTTGGGAGTAATTACTTTGTCTGACTCTGGGGAGTAGTTATTCATAAATAGCAGCAATGGAGCCTCCACACTACTGCTATTTCGAAATAACTATTTTGAAACTAGCCAATTAGCCCGTCGTAAGACGGGATTTTCAGGTCTTCTCTCCTGAGCGCTCTCTCTCTCTCTCTCTCTCTCTCTCTCTCTGTCCTCCTACTGCCTCCCCCGCTTTCTCTCAGCTCTCCTCCGCC